AATTAGCTGGGCGCCGTGACACACACTTGTAGTTTCAGCTCCTTAGGAAGCTGAGGCAGGAGGATCACATTAAGTCCAGAAGCTTGAGGTTGCTTTGAGCTGTGATGACACCCCTGAACTCTCTCCTAGATAGCAGAGCAAGACCCTGTCTCTAAATAAATAGTACTGTTATATCCACTTAAGCGTAAAATCAGATTCCATTTTTGTTCTTCAGCACATGAGTCCTTTGTTAATAGCTTTGATAGTTTTAACTTCTTTTGATGCAGCAACTTGGTTGAATAAAGTTTTTATAGTGATTGGCCTTTGGAAGATTCTAGCTTTAGAATTCATCACCTGCGAGATCTTAGGCAAGTTGGCTCACTTCTCTGATATTTTCTTCTTCCTCTTCAAGTATATGATAGTTAATTTCTGTCACTGAAGTTGCTGTGAAAAGTAGATAACAAAGGGAAGCAATAAGTAAGCATTTCACTTCGAAGCTAACCCCCGATAGGTTGTGTCTGTTGAGATCTGCAGTTCCTTCTGCCTTGAGGTCTGTAAGCTTCCCTTTCCCTCTGACCTTTTCTTAGGCATCCCTCCCTACCTTTTCTCCCCCCTTCCCCCTTTTGGCATAAATCTCACAGAAGACAAACAGGATAAAAAGTTTTCATGCCAGAATTCCCTCTCAGCCAGTCAAATGCTTTAACTCCCCTCCTTCTCTATTTGTCAGTCAACACGTATTCAGTAAGGGCTCACAGGTAGAGAAGTACTAGAAGAGGTGGCTGAATACCTAAATCCACTCTGCATTTATCCAGTCCTGTCATTCTGCTTCACAAAAGGAAACCCAATCCTACCTGGAACAAGAATGTCTTCTGTGTTAATCCTGTGTTAATGAATTTGTTAAATTAGTCATTGCTGACACAGAAAAGAAAATACTTTGTTTTATGTAAGAGATTTTATTGTTTAATCTATACATAATTTCAAGGGCATGGATGGGGAAAGATGCTCTTTGAGTGCAGCCGGGGAGTATCAGGTGAGACCGTATTTTCCTTGAGCTTCTTACTTAAAGGAGGAGATCTAGGGGGGGAGCAAAGGTCGTCTCAATTACTTTCTTTTTCTTTTCTTTTTGAAAAACACTTTCAAAAAAGTGTCACTTTTTTGTGACACCACTGGGTAGAGTGCTGTGGTTGCAGCTCACAGCAACCTCAAACTCCTGGGCTTGAGCTATTCTCTTGCCTCAGCCTCCTGAGTAGCTGGGACTACTGGCACCTGCCACAACGCACGGCTATTTTTTGGTTGTAGTTGTCATTGTTTGGCAGGCCTGGGTTGGATTTGAACCCTCCAGCTCTGGTGTATGTGGCTGGCACCTTAGCCACTTGAGCTACAGACGTCAACTCCTTTCTTAAAAGTGCAGAGGGATGTTTTTTCCTGTCTGACTTTTCTTTTCCTATTCACATTTTAAAGGAACTGATGAAATATTTTAAAGTTATTCTCTTAATCGCCTATAGTTTTAATTTATGTATAGTAAAAGTTTATCTCAGAAAGTTTTTCAAAAGACTTCTAAGAATACCCAAATATAAGATAATCTTCTAAATTACCAAAGATGGCCAAAAAAATGAAATTCATGTATGGGAGTTTGAAACTAGCATTGAAACTGGACAGTACCTACGATGATGACCTGCATACTTGCCTAAGGTTAGACTGTGAATTTGGCTTTAAGCCTTCTAGCAGTCCATCAAAGAAGAAAGTTAATTTTGCAATTTATTAAAAAAAGAAGAAGAACTATTTTGCAGGAGAAGCAAAACTGTTCTTGTTGCAAAAATCTGGTAACAGTTTTTTCTAAGGAATCCATGTGACAGTATGACCCCAAGTGAGCTAACAAACAACACTTGAGCAGCTACTTTGGGGAGGAGCAAATGTGAATCTCATAGAATCATTTCCTGTATTACCTGTTGGAGCTGACTGATGCACTGTGAGAAGCACTGTTCATGAAAGGAATGATTCTGTGGGGTGCTGCAGGCCCAGTATGCTGTAGCTAATCCACAGTGCCCAGTCCTCTGCTGATCTGATTTGATCTCTGCGTGTATTTTAGAAAATTAGGAAAATGAATTGTATGTTCCTTGGTTATTCTTTGTTTTTTAAAATGTATTTATGTAAAATATACATATGTGATTTACTGTCTTTATCATTTTTAAGTGTATAGCTCAGTGGTAATAGTTTTTTTTTTTAACATTTTCCTTTCATTGTCTCCTTTACCCTACACCCCACCCTTAGCCTGTGACAGCCACCAGTCTACTCTCTGTCTTTATGAGACCCACTTTTGAAGCTCCCATTTGTGAGTGACAGCATGCAGTCTTGTCTTACACACTTGGCTTATTTCATATAACATAACGTTCAATATCGCAAAGAGATGTCTGCACTCCAATGTTTCTTGCAGCATTTTTCACAACTTCTAAAATATGAAAAGAACCTAACTGCCCATCAACAAATGAATGGATAAGTAAAATATGGTATAGATACACAATGGAATGTTATATAGCTATAAAAAATAGAATGTTGTCATTTGCAGCAATATGGATAAAGCTGGATGCCATTATGTTAAGTCAGTTATTCTTAAATGCTTTCTTTTCACAGATGAATATTGTTAAGTATTTAGTAGCAGTGATAAACATGTTCCAGGAACAGAGGTTTTTTTTTTAATCCTAGATGCACACACCAACACTTATGCTTTCATAGGATGTAGAGTTTGAGATTGGATTGACTTCATTAAAAATTGGGGAACAAATAAGGATATTGGCCTCCAGGGTCCATCTAGCCTTACGGATGAGCTGATGATGTGCCCCCCCCCACCCCAAAGAAAATTCACCCTCACCAGTGGTTTCCAGTCTGTTTTAATGTCCAGACAAATAGAGGCATAAAATCCCAAAGTTGTACTATACGCTATGTTAGGGTCCCAGTACATTTCATGTCTATATAACCTGGTAACTACCTGGTAGAAAAGCCCAGAGAACTCGTAAAACTTTGTCTAGCTTTAAGTAGTGTGAATCCTCGTTTATCTTTGAAGATAAACCACATGCAAACTATATACTGAGAGAATTAAATGAAGGAACTTGTTGAATAGGATTTTTATTTTATAAATCAGGTAAAAATTGTGAGATAACCTACCAAAAGTAGTATATTGGATTGCAGAATAGATGACCTGTAGCTTTTTCTTTTCTGGCAGGAATTAGTTAACAAAGGTATTTCCTGTTAATCATAGCAAACTTTAGTACCCTAAAGTTTTAAGAATAGTAATAATAAACTGCTTATCTCAAACTTCAGAAAGCTATATATATTACATCACACAAATGGCATCATATTAATAAGAAACAAGCTAACAAAAAGCAGGGCTAGAAAATACCCTCTTATTACCCCCACATAATGGGGGGTATAATTTTAATGGGGGGAGTAATTTTAATCGCTTTCTTATACCCCCACAAAATGAATTTTAATTACTCATCAGGGGCATTTCTGCTTTCCTGCTCTTGCAGAAGTGGGCGCTGGTTCTGAGTAAACAATATGTTTGCAAAGAATTTCCCAGTGGGAGACAGTTACTGAATAGCAAGGTTTATTTTACTGTCAGAGGTTTAAAAATGTTCTAACTTTGTGATGCTCATTGCTGTGACTCTGTTAATAGTCTGCCTAGAAATATGGTGTCTGATGCTTACTAACAATTGCCATGTGGTCGCTTGGTGATGATAATTGATGGTAATGAGGTCAGAGGCAGAGTATCAGTTGAATAGAGCCGTATACTAGAAATCAGGAAGCCCAGCTTCTGGCCTTGCCTCACCCAGTGACTTTATATGTGTCACTTTTGAACATTCTGGATGTCAGCTTCTCCATCTGTTAAAGTGAATTTGTAATAACTGCCCTGGTCTATCTCACAGGAATGTTGTATGGACAAATTAGATAAATGTAAAAGTGCCTTGGAGGTAAAGCCGTTCTGTGAATACGAATCAGTGTGATGTGGCTCCTGAAAAGCGTGTTGCAGAGGCCAGAGGAGAGATGGTTAGTCTCTGCAGGCTTCTGGCCTCGATAAGGCTTCATAATGGAGTCCTGCCACGCCAGCCAAGCCCATCTTATCAGTTCATGACTATGTAATTTTTTTGGGGGGGGGGTGGAATAATCTCTTTACGGATATTTGTTACCTTGATACAAATGTGCATTAAAAAACTGTCATGTTTGGGGAGAGGGTATAATATTTCAGTTATGCAGGATGGATCTGCTGCCAGCACTGTGCCTATAATAGGTTCACACTGCTGTATTGTGCACTTACAAATAAATCTGTTCAGAGAATAGATCTCATTTTATGTGCTCTTCTCACAATAAACTAATTTTAAAAATGACATATTTGAGTTAAATAAAACCTTTCCCAGTCGTTCCAAACAACGTGTGATAACCAGTTTACAGTTTGTGTTGTCATTTTGGAGGGTCAGGTTTGATGTGTTTAATGAAGTTGAGAAAGAAGTATGTGAATCAGTATACGAGGAAGGGAAATTGACTACAGAGTATTTTCTCAGGTTACGATCATTATTATTTTTAAGATTTTGACTTATCCAAGTGAGGATTTTTTTATTTTGTAGAAATGTCAAACTGTCATCTCTGCCTGTCCAGTATATCTTTTTCTACTTGCTTCATATTCTGTCATGGTGACTTTCTGTCACAGTTAACATCTCCATCCTCAATCATGATTGCAGGCAGATTGACTTGCTGCTGCTCAATAAAACACCACCAGATTCGCTGAAGACTGAATAAGGTGGAGGGGGTGGCCTTTCTTGAAGGAATCCCTGTGTGCTCTACTCTGTCCCATTTTCACATCATCGCAGAGTCCCCATGTGAATTTACAGCACCCCTGTGTTTAGTCCTTGGAAAAGAAAACTGAACAAGTATTTAATTGATTGGACATTGCGTAAAAGAGGTCCCATCTAGGCTATCTTTAGAAACTTTTCTTCTTGAGTTAAGCTGATCTCTTTTTCTTCTGGCAGGGGACCATTCTTAGTGGCACTGGGGAAATCTTGGCACCCAGAAGAATTTAACTGTGCTCACTGCAAAAATACAATGGCCTACATTGGATTTGTAGAAGAGAAGGGAGCCCTGTATTGTGAGCTGTGCTATGAGAAATTCTTTGCTCCTGAGTGTGGTCGATGCCAAAGGAAGATCCTTGGAGTAAGTACTGGAAATGTCTTTATTCTTCAGGAGTTTAAAGCACTGGAAATGTCTTTATTCTTTGTGAGTTTAACTTTCTATTTTCTCCTTGCTTTATCCACTCTCTGGTTTCATCACTATTTATTATTGTAAAGCAAAACTAAATAGACCTCTGTAGAAGTGTATCAGGCTCCCAGGGTTAGGCTTTCTTCAGTTTTGTTTCACTGAGTGCGGGCTTGTCTGGTTAAAGTCTAGCCACTGTAGGGGAAAAATAATTCACTGTGGGTGTGCTACCTCAACAGGACCATTTGCTCAGGAATGAAGAGGTCGCACAGGACCACACACATCCACGTTCTCAGAACTGACACCTTCACTGTTTTAAATTAAATTCCATAGCTTTTATAAGAGCAGCATTTCCCCACTTGTCAGAGTTCAAGTACAGGACACTGATTTCATGAAATACATAAAACATAAGGCTTATAAATGATATATTTTTCTTGAATGCATATAATGTTTAAAATATAACCTCAGTTTTATGAGAGTACACGTGTGATGGAAAAATAATTTTAAGCAATACCTTTTCATTTCTTTCTTTTTTCTGTTTTTTATTTTTTTGCAAAAAGGGAGTAATTTAGTTGTAGTACATAATAAATACTAAATAAATTCCCTTATTTTGCAATTATAAAGTAAGGATCATTTTTTATGAGTGACTAGGAGCTAGAATTTGATTTTAGGAGAAGCCTAGGTTCTTGGCTTCATACAAAAGTTGGCAGTGGCCCTGCTGTATTCTAATATGCTCAATATGAAAACACAGTAATGAAACTACATATAATTCATATTAATTGAAAGAAAAGTTAGTGTGAATTGGTTAAGTAGTCTTAATTTTAGGGTACACCTTTAAGTGGGTGTACAACTTTGAGGACACTTAAAATTATATAAACATGCCACCTGAAATATTTTTAGTTTGTACAGAATGTTGGAAACAAAGGAGCAAAATGAGTCGGTCCATATCTTCCCAAATAATGACAAAAATTAGTAAAATATTCACTAATACTGTTTTAGTGTATAAACATGTTCTTTTGGACTCTAGAATAATAAAACAAAGTCCAATAAGAGTCTTAAAACCAAATAAAGTTCTAGGAAATGTAAATCTTATATTTATTGCTTCAGGGATAGGCCAGAACTTCACTAAAGGGATAGCTTCTATGGATTGTGTTTTAGTTGTTTGATTACTTGTTAAAGAAGAAATAGTAATGTGTCTCTAGGATGGAGAACGAAGTATATTCTGGAAGCCTTGGGAAGTGATTTGGTTCAGTGTCCGTCTGTTACACATGATTACAGTGACTTTTTGGATCTGCTCTCTTGTCTTTTCTCTGCTTTGCCCTTCAGTAGTGAACTACTGAGGCTAATAATTTACTCTATTATCATTTTCTTTCATTTTAATATTTTTATAAAAGAAAATATTTCACTCTAGAACAATTATGAAATAAAAACGTAAAAAGTAAATTTAAATGACCTATTTACCAATCACAGATAATTACTATTAACCTTGTGACATACTGTTTTTCAGTTTGCTATTTATAAGTAATGCATTTATAAAATTGTAACCATATTTTACATATAACACCCTCCTTTTTTCTGATGAATCTTATGGAAAGAGTGAACTCCTGTGTTGTTATTAACTATTCATCAAAAATGATTATTAAAGTTTCCATCTCTTTCTCTGAACCCAAAGAAGTGATTCCTTGTAAAATCAACTCCCCAAAACCTCTTTTACTAATTAACATCTAGCCCAAGCCTTTAATAGTTGGTGTAACCACATGGCCATGGTTGATTAGAATTTATGCTTTATAGTTCAAATTTTAGACACTCAATTAAGTGTGCTTAGTAACATCACTGCTGCCTTACTAAAGCATGAAAACCTCTTGAACTGATGGGATTACCTGGGTTGCATTGTTGCTTCAGGGATGCACCAAAGTATTAGTTTATGTTAGTTTTTAAATGCTTCCCCCTTCCTTCATGACATTTTCAAATAATACTATGAAATTTTTGTAAGTTCATGTTTCTTGGTATCCTTTGAGAGAAAGAAGAATGCATTGTAGCAAGCACTTTATTTGCTATAAGTATATTGTTTAAATAACTTGGTAATCATTCTTTAAATAAGTTTTATTGATTTGTATTTGTGAAAAACACAGTCACATAGTTCATTGGTTTAGATGATATACATGAATCTATCTTTAAGTATCTCCTGTTACTTGGATGAAAAGCTCAAGACAAAGATGAATTATGTGTGTCTGTTTTCAGTTAGCTTTGTAAGACTTGATTGGTATAGCTATTAGAATAAATGTTTGTTTGTTGTCATCTTTTTTGTTAACATCTCATTACCTTTCTGTAATAGGAAGTCATCAATGCTCTGAAACAAACTTGGCACGTTTCCTGTTTTGTGTGTGTGGCCTGTGGGAAACCCATTCGTAATAATGTTTTCCACTTGGAGGATGGTGAGCCCTACTGTGAGACCGGTAAGACCATGAGCCCTTAGTTTCTAGAATCTTGAATAAAGGTAAAACATTAACCTTTATGTTGCTCTAAAGCTGAAAGAAAATATTACTAGGCAAAGTATATTTCCTAATTATTTTGGGAACATTTAATGTTACTCAAAACTTTTATGTGACTTTGTCAAAACAGATATTCTCAACTTCATTATAAGAATTGAGAATGTAAACATTACTTAGTAAGAAAAATATTTTGCTTGAATCCCCCGTAATTTATGGATATAAATTCTACCAAACCGTATAGCTTAAAGCTACCTCTTACAGTCCAGTCATGATTTTTGGGTGCTTATAAACATCAGAAATGTTCAACTTTTTAGAATATGAAACTGATTTGCTCTTTAAGGCAACTACCTTGAAAATAAACTTGAAATATTTTATTACTTTTACTAAATGGAAGGGGAAATTTTGTCATTACCCATGGTAAAATAATTTTTAATAAATTAAACTGTAAGGACCCATCTACTACATTTGTCTTTTACCTGAACTCTGAAAACTTTATTTTCCTTCTCAAAGTCTTTGTTTCATAACAATTTATTTATTAATAACTCCCTTAGATACTATTATCACTTCTCACATACATACATGTTTTCAATATAAAATATTTTTTCCTTATCATGCCTCCACTTACCATCAGTACATTTCCAGTACTGATTTTTATTGTTATTCTACCTTAAATTTCAAAGTTCAGGGCTAGAGAAGGGAAAATTCCAAAGTAGTCAAGTTAAAGGAAGCTTCTAAATTAAATCTGTATTGGCATCACTCAGCCTTTTTTGTTTACTCAATATTCTCCTAGTTTCACCTCTTTTTGACTCCTTAATTAAGACCAACCTGGATCTGTTACAGATTGTACTCCAGGAACCCTAGAAATTCCAGTGAAGTGACCCATAGGCCATTTGGGGACAGGTTGGCTACAAATTGCCTACTTTT